ACCTGACAAGAAATAACCCAGGGGATTCAGCTGCTGATCTCAGACCACAGAAAGCAACAACTCCGGACTTGAGTGCAGGCCATTTCAATCTTTGAATTAAATTGCAAATGGGTGAATTGATTAAAGCTTTTTACTCAGGTTGTGAGTTAAGTACCAGCTTACAGCCTCCTCCGTGACTACATTAAGTCAAATGGCTGCACAGACAGGTAAGGAGGAAATGAAGCTGGCAGCAATAACATGAAGTCACAAGCCAAGAAAAGACAGAGCAGGATTTATGAATAAATGAGGAGTTGCTCAATTGTTGACAGGATGTAATAGCAAGTACAAACCACCCTTGGCTGATAGGGCACAGGTACCTGCAAGCAGCAGGTACAACCTCCTGGCAGCAACAGCAATCAATCAGATTCCATGGGCCTGATGGATTACGAGAACCAGCTGTCCAAATACACCCCTACTATTTGCAACAAATGCTGATGTAGCAGAATGAGAGGGAACCTATTTAGAGAGCTAGAAGAACATTCCTAGTGAGTATTGAGTTTGGTCCAGGAGGTAAGGGAAAAATAAAAACAAACAAACAAGCCTGAGGGAGCATTCCAGTGTCAGCCAAGCAGAACTCACAGTGAAACATTAACTGAAAACATGGATGGCAGAGAATAAGATCTGGCAGAGGCAGATTTCCTCAAGGTTAGAATGAAAGAAAAACATGGTCAGGGTCAGCACATAGTTCCCTAGCCCCTAGAGTGCTTGTCCTGAAACAGAGGGCAAGATCTTTAATTGTGTCCATGTGGACACAAATTTTAAGGATGGCACAACACAGCTCCATCTTGCTGCCTTCCTAACTCAGGATGAAGAATGAAATATCCAGGCAAGAGGAATGCTACTGAGTACAGACAAGTTTTTGGAAGTTGCAATTGAAAATTAAAAGGAAAATTTGTAAAAACACAAGGCTGAAATTTTAATTTATTATCCTTGCTCTAAATACATAGTGTTTATAAAGGTACACTTGGATTCACTTGACAGAAGTGAATTCCACACTTGAGTCAGTCTCTAAAATACAACTATGGAGTGTTGCTAATATACAGGGTCTGGATCCTAAACTTGAAGAAAGCTCTCTCATTCCCTAGTATTTAAGGGATGGGGACACACTCCTATCCTGTGCCATTCTTTTGGCTAATTAATTATTCAGCTTAGTATTTCAAGGTGATTAAGCAGCAAAATCTGGCTTCTGACTCTGGTGTCTGTGACAAGAATTTTGCTTTAGGCAATACATCAAATCTGTTAGGAATGAACACACACTAAATACTCCCACAAGAATAAAAGTAGATGATCCATGATGATCCAGAATGTGCTGTCATGATTTGCTCAAGAGTGGGGCCTTTGAGAGCATGAGGGACTGTCTTCAGGCAGTTTCCAAGAGTGAGGTACCCAGCCAGCTCCCCAGGAGTTTACAGTAGGGCAGGCAGCCAAACCAGCACAGATCAGCACAGTATGGTCCCAGCTTGATACACTGCTCAGCTCTAGGCAATAGGGAAAAAAAAATAAATAGGCTGCAGCTACCCTGTGTCCATGAGCAGGTGATGAACCCACAGTCTCACAGCTCTTCACATCAAGGAAGCATCTGTTTTCTTTCTCACCTTCAGTGAGAACTCCACACTCATGTCTTCCACTGCTAGCCAGCTGTGCAGCACAGCCAGGGCCTTGAGGAATTCACCACCCATCACAAGGCACCGTTTGGCTTTAGTACAATCAATTCTAGCAATGGTGCTGGCCTGTCAGCTGGTGTTTCAGTGTCCCTGCCCCAGCCTGTGCTGCACATGGGTTTGCTTGCTGAAGTGACAGGACCAAAGTCATGCAGACCCCAGAGTGACCCCATTCTGCACTATTGGCACTGGCTCTTGGGGATTTGACATTGCCAGACCTCTCTCAGATTTAATTTCCTACTGCTTTTCCTGCAGGCTGGTGGCAAAGCTGTCAGCCAACACTGACACCATGCCAGCTCCCACAGAAGGGACTTTCCTGGGAGTTAGCACAGGCAGAATATACACTTCTCAGCATTGTCATGGAGGCCTGATCCCCAGATCACTGGTCACAGCAGCCTAAATCACAATGTACTTGCTTCCTTAAACACCTCAATGCTAATGGATTCTATTCTTCACTAAGGAGCTCTCTATTGTTATCCCACGCTGAACCCTCAGCTTTGTTTTCCCTCACCATCACCTTGCAGCCTTTCTTCCCACTGTGGGCTTCTGATCAAAATCCCCCTCTCCAGTATCACACCAGGGATCATACAGCACTTGACTTGCTAGGGCTGCATAACTATAGCCTGCTACCAGAATAATTCCTGCAGCACAAGAGGGTTTTTATGAGCTTGCTCCACTGATGGCTGCAAGTAAAATTGCTGCCAGCTGAGGATTACTAACCTGTAGAGAGCTGGCAGAGATCCAGAGCCTTTGTTCTCTCAGTACAGAGGGATCAAGCACACTGCATCTCCTGATAGCAGTGGTGATTCTTGTGCAGTCAAGATAAAGCTGGTAAATCAGACACTCATTCCCCTCCCCTGCCATGAGTAAATAAGACACTGAATGTTTTGGTGCTGGCAGCACAAATACAATGTTAATTCAAAGGCAAAGACTGCTCAGCCCTTTGTGGGTGTCCAGAGTAAATGAGAGCAGCTGCTTACTCCTGCTGCATGATGCTTTCCATTTCATCTCAGCTGCAGGACTGAGCAGCCATCAAAGCCTGCAGTGCTCTGCATCAGCCCCTCCCCCCAAAGGGAAACAAGCTTTATCCTAACAAGCCAGAAGTGCACATGGGGTTACTTTTTTAAAAGTCTTGCTTGCTGTGGACTACACATCACACTTACCTTGGGCTGTTAACAGCAACCTGGCTCTGCATTTAGCTCTATGGAACAGACACAGCCTGAATTTCTACAAAACACAATCCCTAGTTTGTGAATCTCTATTTTACCAGCTATAGTACTGCCTGTCATGTTCCATCTCCTCATCTTATGAGGGAAAGCACTCTGGAGATGGGACACACCTGTTTGTTCTACAAAAAGCATAAGAGTAAGTTTCAGCCTTAAGGAAACATGGGATGTCTTTTTGAATGTGCATAAAATTTCAGTTTTTGTTGAAAAAAACCCAGTCTGCTAAGCTTCCCAACTCTGTTTCACTTGTTGGCTAGACCTCAGCCATCAATAATGCCTATACTGATCTAACCCATTACTACTGTCATGTGTGCAAAAAAAAAAAAAAATACTCACTACTATTACAATTTTATAACCAGGCCATGCCAATGACTAACAGGGCTGTTTGTGACAAAGTAGATAAGAACATAAGAAATAGACAGGAACATAGTTCTGTCGAAAATATTAGAGGTTAAAATATATTTTAGCCATATCATATGTAACCTTAAATCCCAAAGATTGAAAAACCTAACTAATGTATAATTACCATATTCTTAGACAATATGAAAATAGAAGTTTTAGATTTTAGGATGAAATACATATTTTTAAATAAATAAACCTGCTCAGTGATGCAAACAAGTGAAAATTACACTTATTACCTCAAATGAAATCTTGATAATTGTAAGTAATAAAAGCCCCTACACTGAACTGACAGAAAGAACAGTAGCCTGCAGGAGTGATACTTAGTCCTCTTTACAAAAAAAACCAAACCCACAGAGCCCCAGTGTAAGAGCCCCTCCTGTAGCATAGGTAACTCCTCCTTCACATGCAGTCATAGCTAAAGCCATGCCCCAGAAGCTACAAAGCCAATGCATTTGCACCCACTCCAGCAGTAAGGACCCAAGGCACACTCTTTCAGCAGCAGTCACACTAACTTTAATATACTCTGAGATCACAGTTTACTATCAGAAGGTCAATAGCTCTGCCACACTGAACAATTACAATTTGCATTATATACACACTTATGTCTATTTTCATCACAAACAGTTCAAACAAGCCAAAAAAACCTGAACAGCTTTTGTATTAGATTTGTCAGAATATTTGTCCGGGGCAGTTCCCAGAGAGTCGGACACCTTAATAAAGACGTTCACATGAGAAGATCCAAATATTGTTCCCAATGAATGAGCTGATCAACATTAATGAAGAATTTGTCATATTCAGACATCTCCACTTAGACCCTTTCACACAAACTGTTCATGCACCTCAAAAGTAATAGACAGAAACCTAAGCAGTGGCAGAATATATCAACTTCAATTTCTACAGTTTGTAGGTGTTTCTTCAATTTGTAAGTGTTTTGGGCCATACTTCGTTTTTTCTTCCCTCCCCCATCTCCTTCAAGCATTCAAATAATCTATTACACCCATATACAAACTCTCATATTAGTGAGACTAGAAGCTATGAACTCATTCAACAGATTTCCTCGTTCAGAGATTGTCCCAAGCCATTAAGCAGTAACAACATGTTAAACATAGAAGTAATGTCCTTCCTGACAGGTCCAGCAGCAGATCTGATATAATAATCTGAAAGGAATATCTGGAAACCTACACATCTTGGCTGCAACTTGAACAGAGCTATGAATTCTACTCAGGTGACTTTTTCAAGTTATCAGTGAAAGGAAGAAACAAAACTACATTTTCACCTGCCCTGGGAGAATTTACTTTTCATTTTTCAGAGAAGACTTGTCAGAACTAAGCATAATGCAGCAATTACCCAGATACAGTTGCTTCTCAGCCGTCCCTCCTATAAGGCTAATTTAAGAACCAGAAAGGGACAGCATCCAGATAACCTCTTCATTTTGCCCTTCAAAAACTGCAATATAACACTGCACAGCCTTGAAAGACAATATTTTATGATAATCAAACTCTTCAGTTGGAGCACCCAAGACCTTATGTCAAACCATAGTACAGAATAGAAGTTTGTATTATTTGTATTATATATTGGTAATTATCAGTTATTATTGAAATGAATCCTAATGGCTCCATGCTATTGGTAGTGTGATGTGAAAGCAGAAGCACTTCAAAATATCAACTTGATTTTATACCCCTTCAGTTGGGCTTTCAGAAAGTCTGTTCCATTGGTTGTGCAAGTTGGTGTCCTTGTATAAAAGCCAAACGTTTCCTGCCCATAAAATCATATTAAGGAAGCCAAACACCTGTAGGATAAAGAAAAAAAAGGGGGAGGGGGGGAGGTAATATTAAATTTGTTGTGTTTGACTGGGTTTTGCTTTTCTTTTTTTTTAAAAAGCCAGAATGTCTCTTCAAGGCAAACCAGAAACAAGCACTATCTTTGGCACCCCTTTCATTTGGGCAAAACATTTCCATACTCTTCAGAGTAATAAGCTATTTAGCATAGTTCTTTGTGGACCAGATAGTCAAATTTACTCTATACTTTGCACAGAATTAAAGAAATTTTTTTCAGTCAAGTCACTGAGCACCTCTGCATATGCACTCTCAGACCAAATGATGAATTATTGTTGGGCCAATGAATAACAGCCTGAGTTTTGAAAAGCAGGATTCAAAAAGAAGATCATACAATAAGCCTAATTTGCTCTGCTATGAAGTGTTCTTTTTATGAACACGAGCTTCATACCATTATGTTACAAGGAACCTCAATCTGATGTGCAAAAGTGCTCACAGTTGAGTAAAAATCTAGGTTCAGCACCAGCACAGCATTTCCTCCTTATTTATATCAGTCATCAAACCACTTGGTGGCTCAGTAAGATATTTTGAGTTGCTCTTGGCTAAAGGCATAAATAGACACTCAAATGCATCTGGAAATGCTGCATATAACAGCTTTAGAGGCAGATCCTGCACATTGTTTCTATTTTCTTTAGAAGAAAGCTTGTTTCCTCCAAGAAACTACTTGCTCAGTGTTTCACCACAGTATTAATGGACCTGAATGGCAAATAACCCATAAAGAAATCTCAACACAGAGCAATACATGCAATCAGTAGAACAACACTCTCAGGTACCATTTGCTGTTTTCCAGCATATTTATTGTACCCGTATGGTGGAAGGCATACATACCACAGACACATTCAGAGTTCCCATGCTGGTCACAGAAAGAAAATGGCAAGTTGTTCCTGGTGCTTTGCAAGATTCAATTCCTGGAATAATGCTGGCTCCTGTGGACACCTTGATGTCAGCAAGAGCCTTTGCCCAAACAAAAGTACTGACCAGCCACAGAAAGGCTATCAAGACACTGATTGCCAAGTCCTACATAAGAGAAATACTCATTAAGAGGTTAAAAAAAAAAGCAGGAATATGCATGAGAACAAGGCAGAGACAGTATCAATTATATCACCAAGATAACAACATCTGTGCTAATGATCACAAACAAGTTTAGTCATTAACAATGTTATAGTCCCAACTCAGTGTTGATAACCAGCTACAAAGCTATGTGCTTGATAGATGCAAAAGACAATCTTAACCTAAGAAATCTGTTTCTAAAATCAGATGCTAGCACTTATTTCATAAGGATTTAAGCCAAGGTTAAGTAAAGTGAGTGTGATGGGAGAAGGGCAGAGGACTTAAATCTGGATGGCTGATAGGCTAAAGTTTGGCTTGAAAGATCACTAAGTCTATTTTCAAGCATGTTTTGAAATTACTCATTCAGAGCTTTAATACTGAAGGTGACTAAAATTCACAAAGTAAATATTTCCCTCTTCCAATTGCAGTAGGTGCTCTATATAGAGAAAATTTTCAGATTAACAGAGGAGACCCCACCTATGGAACAGTACTCAATACTCATGCATACTCAAATGCATGATACAAAAGAAAAGTTATAGTGAAGCTACTGTTCACCTGAAAAAGTAAACCTTTATTCCACTGCTTCAATAACTGCATAAGTTGTGATGCCATGGACGGCCAAGGGCTTTGGGACCCTTTTCTGCTTGAGTGCTGTAGGGACCAGTCTGAGATACTTGTGTTCACACTCCATTTATTTTTTGTAACTACTGGATATTCACCAATTATTCTTGCATTAACAATATTTCTCATCTCTTTGTAGCTTCAAAGTCAAAGCATTAAAATACCTTAGTATGACTTACAGTTAGTGGAAGCTTGTTATTTTGCCTATACACGTGGTTATATCCAATATATACCACAAGGGCAGTAACACAGTAGAGGAACACCAATGCTGCCAGAGTAACAAAGAACTGTGCAGAAGAGGAGAAGTTGCCCATGAGGTAGACATCATTCCAAGTACCACCACAGCCTTTTGGGTCTGGTGCACTAAATACAGCTGTATCCAACCTGTGGAGATGATATCCATGTAGTTAGAGTTAGTTATATGAAACTCACACTGTATAATTATACTTCATGCTTCACAGCAACAGCACTTCAGCATTCTGATTATATATTTACTCTGAAATACTATAGATATAGGAATAATCAGTTTTGTAACACAAAGGTTTGTCAAGATGTCTGAAGATTGTACCCAATCCTACACTAAGATAGACAATAGTACCTTCGGGAGAAGAACCCAAATCTCATTTTTAGAGCAGTTGAACAAAATATTCCCAATTTGGAAGCAGACTTCGCAACATTACTTGAGAGACTGGTAGTTAAACACGGTGATCAGGCCTTAAAAAGCATTATAGCTACAAAAACCACAAGCACTGAAGCTGAATAAAAAAAGCTTTGTGACTAGCATTGACCACTCTGACAAGCATGGAATTATTTCAGATCCCCACTCTCCCCTCTAAATGCTGTTACCATGCTGGTTTTTGTGAAAAAATTCTATACCATTGTAGTGGTTTTTACTGGCTGTCCACTGAATCCATTTCTATGTTTATTTATGTTATTATGTTAATTGACCACATATGGAACACCAACCCTGCACTCATCATAGCTGTGCAGCTGCAAGAGGAAAGAGGAAGAGTTCCTCCTGCTCCAGGAAAGAAGCTTGTCTCTACAAGAGCACTGCAATGACCCTGAAATAGTTAGGCTTTTTGTGCCCAGCATCCTCATCAAGATAACGCAGGAATAAACTGAAGAAAAATTTCCATTTGGTCTTTTAACAAAAATAGGATAATGGCACATTCAAAATAATGTTATCTGGACCTGCAAAGTAGCTTGCAGATTGATGAATAATTAGGCTGTTAAAATGGATTGTGTTTTTTGGGTTTCTAATTACTTTCTGTAGCATTCATGCACTGCTAGATTAGAGTTTAAGACAGAGTCATACAGAGCATAACAGCCTACTGCCATTTCTAACTACTTCTTTCTATAGGGCACTAAAAAATAGAGTGCTTTGAATGATGGCAACTAAATATTTTTTTATTGCTGCTACAGAGCAAGCCAAAGTCTCACATCTTCATTTATACAGTAAGCACATGTTCATAAGGAGGCAGAGAGGGAAAAGGGAAATAAGAAGTAATTACCAAGTAATAACTGAAGAGCTCACCTGAATGGATAAGCAAAAGCAGCTGTAATTGTTTTGTTCACCACACCTTTGCAGGAAACTAGAAGAGCAGTTTCACCATGAAAGCCTCCACATGTGGCAAAAGCAAAGATGGCAAGAACCTATAGGCATTGGAACATAGATACATTAATGCACACCACTGGAGCTCAAAGGAAGCAAACTCAACTTTTAGCAGAAATAGCTGAAGACAAGAAATAGCAACAAAATTAGCAAAGGTGAAGTATGAAGTGATGTGAAGAAGAAAATGCTAAGTTTCTAAAACCCAAAAGCATAAGTAACACTGCTAACCAAGGCCCATTTAAAAGTGCTTTCTGTTTATTTTATTTTCAGTTGCACAAAAAATTTTTGTGTTTGTATTTTGTTGGTTTTTTTGTATGCTAACAGCCAGCATATTATTTCTTGCAATGATAAAGGAAATATTTTTACAAGTCCTGCATATCCACAACTATAAATTCAAATAACTAGAAAGTACATGCTCAGAATATCACACATCAATTTGACTCTCTAAATAGCTCTTCTTTTCACTATCCAGACCCTAAATCCCCAACCATCAGAACACACAGCAGCACAAGCTGATGTAACACATTCTAATTAACAGTCTCTGTATCTGCAGTCCAAGGGTGTGGCTGAGGAGCAGCTCAGCGTTGGACACACAGCCCCAGCAACCTGGGGCAGGGTCTGTCAGCCCAGTGGTCACAGCTCTCCAGGGCAGCCAGCCCAGGCACAGGAGCAAAGCCAGGCCTGGGGCAGCAGAGGAAACAGTCCCCCCCAGCTCCACTCACCCATTCAAGGACTTTAACAAAGCCCAGAGACTCCAGGAGCACGCTGAAGTCCATCCTCAAGCTCACCATCACTGAGAGCCCAAAGCAGCCAGCAGGAACCAGGACCAGCACCAGCCAACTACTGCAGCATCCCCAGCACCTCACTATAAGGGCACCTCTTGCCACACCCCTCACCTGGAGATGGGGATGGACCCACCCACAGATACTCAGCTGGGGCTCTTCAGCCCCAGGCCTTGGCTGGGGAAATGATGCAGTGGCTATCACAAGGAGGAACAGCACTGGCTTCTTCCTCTCCCCCTTCCTCTTCCTCTCTCCCCACCCAGCACACTTTGGACAATCACGTGCTGTACCTTGAGCTTGATGATTTGATGGCAAACAAGGCACAGGCACCTGTCAATCTACATGCTTGCTAAAATCTCATTTACTACCTTTGACTATTTAAGCTTTAATTGTTTTCTGTGACTGCACTTTGTAGCTGATATGTCGATCATCATCAGTAACAGCTAAGAGCTAAAACTCATGCTGAAGAAGGTTTGAGGACTGTCAGAGGGGCTTCCCTCTTCCCTGGCCAGAGACCATGGGTAGCCAAGGTACACACACAACAATCACTGCCACAGTTTCCTGGCTCTGATTCAGGATCCTGTAGGAGCTTCCTCTGGGATTGCCTTTGAGGGTGTCTGGTGCTGCTCTTGGCTATGAGAGGCTGTGGCTGCTTCTAGCATCCAGCTGATCTGGCAGCTTATAGCAAGATCTGCAAGCAGATCCTGGCCAAAGGTCCTGGGTCCCAGCTGAGCGATGTTAGTGCTGCCAGGCAGCCTTGCAGGAGGTGCTGAGGAAATGCCAATGGAAGAGGTGGCTTTGAGTCCAGCTCCTGGGTGTAGTTAGAGGGTGCAGCAGCTTGAGCCAAAGGGAGCCAGAGCCTCCACAGGGCAGCAGATGTGTGCTCAGCTGTGGTGAGTGGTATGTGTGAGGGTCTCAGCCCCAGCACTGCCAGGATCAACTCTCCCTTGGCTCAGATGGAAATGCTGAGGGGGTTGCAGCTCTCCAGTCCTGGGGCTGACAAGTTGAGGGGCTCTATGTACCTGATGCTGACAGGTAAGGAAGGACTACTCAGGGCTGTGGAGGCTGGAGGCTTGACTGAGTTTGCTGTGTAACAGATGTTCTTGCTGTAAGTCATGGGAGGCCAGCCAAGGGTGGGAATACAGGAGGAAGCTCCCAGGCTGGGGACTACCTGTGAGAATGGAACAAAGCCAGTGTTCAGCTGGCCTGGGGCTGCACTGCTGCAAACTGCCTGAGTGGCTGCAGGGTCTGCCACACTCACACAACACAAAGAGAAGTTGTGACCCCAACTTTCCGTGCAATGACCAAGAGAGGTGCTGACATCTGCCTGCTGCTACAGATCGTGGAGGGGGTCCAAGCCAAAGCTGTGGAAAGGATGGCTCTTTCCTTTCTTTTGCTGCTTTGTTAAACAGTACATAAATCTCACAGAAAATCCACAGTGATCCAGACAAGCAGTGCTGAGGGTTCAAGCCACCTTGTTTAGCTTTGCTGCCTAGAAAGCCAGTGCCTTTAAGGAGTAAAATACGATAATAAAACCAGGGACAGACCAAGGTGAAATGTCTATTTGCTCATCTTCTTTACATCCTCCATGCGAAAGAAAATCTGTATATCTAAGTGGTATATAATATCTTAGTTCAGCCTAAATGAACCAGGTAACTCCCTGTCCTCTCATCCAATATGCCTCTGTAATTTTTTCTGTCTTCCTTCAGTTCTGCATATTCTCCTTAAACCTTATAAGCAATGCATCTCCCTAAAAATACATATAGACATTGGTTTGATTACTCTGCTTTTCCACTTGTCAGTGAATTAAAACTATTTCATTATTTAAAGCATTTTTCAAAAAGGCTCTCAGTCTTGATTTCTATGCTTTTTCTTTCTCTAGCCTTCTCACATGTCAAATGTCCAGTATGGATGTACTCTGAACTATATACAGTGTTCTAGCTGTGGGCTCATTAATTCAAAATTGGAAAAGGCTCTTAATTTTTCACTCCATATAACTTGTCTTTCTCCTGAGTTTAAAAGTATTTTGAAGCATTTCTGCTTGTGGATTTAATTCCAAAGTGTTACCAAAGATTTTAAATACAGGTGGTCCTTCCAAATGGCTAATTTCATAACCTGAAACCAATTCTGGATCAAATCTTTTTAAGGAGCACTGAAAATATTCACTACCAAAAAAACCCCCCAAACAAAACAAAACCAACCAAAATACAAACCAAAAACAAACAAACAAACAAAAGTTATGTGTGGTGGGGAAGATTAAGCAGGAACAGGCAGCATTGCATTCTGTATTTGGGAAAAAGCAGGACAGTATTAATATGCTAATAATGTAATAAATCCTTTCCACTCCAGTAGGGCTCAGGGGAGTGCTGGGTCACATCTGCTAAAGCTTCTGTATCAGTTGTCAATACCCAGCAACCCAGTTTGGACAGGGCTGATAAAAGAGTTCTCTTAAAATGGACAATGATTGCTGGACATCTCTGAAACACTGAGATCCAGGTGTCTGACTGCTATGGCAGTACAGGCCTATCCATTTATCTCTAATCCTAAGAAAAGAGATAGGGTGACTGATGCAGAACCCTCTTGACAGAGAATTAAATTAGAACAATACAGTTAATGTCAAGCTGCACGGTCATTTGGGAGTCAGTTTTTGCTGATTAGACGATGCTTAAGCTGATCAAAAGACTGGGCTGATAATATTTGATACTGTAACGTAGTTTCAGGTTCTGTGAGGTATTTGGCCTGGTATTTGATGACTCTAGAAGGATATAAAACTCATGTATTCACTGATTTGATTAGAAAGCACATACCTGACTGCGCTTTAACTGAAAATCAATATTATTAGTGTGAAAAAATTATTTGTCAGTATACCGAGTCCCACTCTTTGGAGGTGAAAAAAAGGACAAAACTTGTGGCATCTATATATCTGGTTTCATGGTGTCTGACAAAGCTGTGGTGGAGACCAGTGGGATTCCTGGCTGTCCCAGAGATGTGTGTGCAACAGAGAGAGCAAAGTGCTTGTGCTCCCGAGTGAGGAGAGAGGGGGCTTGCCCTGAAGCATTGTGCAACAGTCTGTGCCTGTGGAAGATTAATTCAAACTACCTAGATTATTAAGAGTCACAGAGAGCTCATTTTCTAAGACTGAAAGAACTTGGGTGGCTTAGCAAAATGAAGAGTAACTAACAGGTATTACTGCTGGCTTGAACTGCACAAGGGAGTAGACCAGGGAAGGCAGAGATTTAGACTAAGAGATGGTTTTACCAAAAGGATCCTGCATGTAATCAAAGAATATAATTAATATTGAACATAAAGCATGAGATTCTGAAAATAACTTCCAACAGAAGATATACACTGAAAGTTGTTTTATAGGGAGTTCAGAATATTTGCAATATTGTTCTTTGTGATGGCAGTGGAAAAAACCCTTGATGGTTCGTGGTGTTCTTTGCCCATCCAATTCCCTATTCAGTCCAAACAAGGATTAATTCAGGGAAGTCCAGAGCTCTGTGTTTGCAGATAAAGCAAGAGTGGGTGATTAAGTTAATACTTATCTGTCAGGAGAGGAACCATTGCTTAGGACTGCTCTGTCCAAAGCACTGTCTATTCAGCAGGGCTGGAAACACCAGGTGAAGAAAGTGCTTTTATTTCTCCCATAGTAAATAAAGCTTACCTGCAACAAAACTGTGTGCAGATAGTTCCTTATCATGTAATGATCTGCATTTTGTTTGTCTGTATGTTTTCAAGTATCTGCATGATTCTATTTGCTTGTGCACTCTGATGCTTTAAATCTTTCCTCTTTAGACATGTAAGTATATTTATTATTCAGTTTATTTCTCTTTAGCTCTCTCATAACAACATTAAGTTAGATTGTTCCTTTTGCCTGACTTCTGTAGCACACCTCTGCCTTTTCTCCAAGACTTCGGAAATCACTATTTAATGTGTTTGGTCTATGCTGGAAGTCCTTGGGACATATTTCACCACATGTGCCAGTCATCTTTCATGTCCAAGCGGGTTTTAAGTTCTGTGGCTAATACAAGTTAGATTTACAAGATATTGTATCATTAAAAAAAAAAAAAATCGAATCATTTTACACTGCCTCTTTCTCATTTACTCATAGCAGCTTAGTTATTTCTGAACTATTACTGGTATCCTTGCTGCCTTGAATTTGAATTTTTTACCACTGCATGTGGAAAAATTCTTGTTATTCTCCTCGATACCCGTAGAAGCCACGGAAGAGCAGGTGGTCGTGTCCCCTACTCCCCACATTTCTGTGCACATTTCCAAAGGGCAGGAGGGAACACAGCCCTGCCCAGAGGGGCAGTGACTCGTCTGGAAGATGGTTCCGAGCAGAAGTTTCTTATAGCTGCTCTTGCCTCCCGGGCAATGCGATTTAGCATGGGATCACAGTTTACAGACGAATCCTGGGACTTAATTTCCACAGCTTATCACTCTACAGGTGTTAGTTGGGTACCACGGGCCCTCCCCTGTGCAATACCCTGGTGTGTGCCTGGTTCTCTAAGCACTCCTTGGAGAACCATCGCTGAAGACAGAGTTCTAGAAAATATCAATTAGCTATAAAGGACAAAGGATATGATGCATGCAGATGGAATAAAAATTCTAAGTTGTATTGTAGAGCTGTGAATCTTCAGGCAGGGTTGACTCAGCTGAGTTTTGGAAAGGTTTGTCTGTGCATGCAGGTCGACTGCAGGGCTGTGTGGAGTCCTGTTCTACCATCTAGTGGTGCACTGGGACAGTGCACACGGTGGAAATGGCCCATTTCCAGGATAAGGAGCTCTTCATTAATTTAATAAATTATTACTAGTTCATGTTTGTCATCTCTGAAACCTCACAGAATTTCCTGGGTGAAGGGAATCCAATAAGAATTCCAAGGATGCTGATTTCCACATGGTGGAAAGGGGGTAGAAAACATTCTCTGCTGCAGCCAGACCACTAAAGTTCAGTGTGGATCATCAGTAGCATCTCTGAATATATGCTGGTCTCACTGAATTTAGTAC